ATTTTCTGTTAAAGAAGTCCCGACAACTGTTGAAGTGATCGCAAGTGCTAGAAAGACCTCTGCAGTCGCCGTCAACGGTGGCGTCAAATTTGTGTCTTCCTATTGGCTGAAAGCACAACGAACTTGGCCTGGGTCTGATCAGTTTTACTGAGCCACCAGACCCCCCTTTCCCCAAATGTGCAGACAAAGCAGCAATTGAAGTCATCTCGGGAGAAGCGTAATCGCGCGGGCGACGACCGCAGATCAGATGTAAAACTATTTCATGTTCGTACGTCTGCTGCGTCCTCCCCCCCGGCGTAAATTAGCACGCCAACCTGCCTGGTCTATGCTAAACATTACTGTCTCACTGCGAGAATATTTGTTCCTAGGCCCAGCCGAGGCACACGCGGACAGCGCGCAGTAAGACTCGTCGAAAGCCACCAATCCGTTCGTTTTCTTATCATCTCTGGTGACGGACACCTCAGATAAATATACCAACTTCCCGTCGCAGGTTCGAATCCCCTCGAGGCCACCGAGTTTTCCACAACTAGGTCAATCAAGATATACTAACGTCTTCGATGAACGACTCGTCTACTTTTAAACAAGCATCAGGAACTCACATTGCCGTCCTTCGTCGAGAAATCCACCCTGAACGTGGAGCACCCCGAGAGCCAGTGTACGAGGGATGTGTGGGCTCGTGTCAACAAAACTTAAGGCCGCGCACGGAGTACCAAAAGACACTTGTCTTCTCGTCTACCGATAGCCACATAAATATCTGCAGAATGGGATGCCAGGAGAGACTGGGATGGCCGTTTCTGGTTTATTAGCTCAACAGGGCGGAAGCGTCCCGCAACCCGAAGCCACTTCCCCCATACACAGATACCGGCCGGACACGGGAATATGGATCCCTCCGTGCTGCCGATGGTCTGACGCTAAATTCTAGGGGGTACCTATTTCCGTGTCCCAGCTCTAACCCTAGCCTTCCCCCCTGGTATGTGAAACGAGGCCACCTGTACTACGGGGGATCCATGTTCTCGTGCCCAATCAAAATGTCTAGCTCGATTGCCAACTTTCGAACGCCACCCCCGCCTCCCCCACCACCGAAGCCCCGGGAAGCAAGTCGTAACAAACAACGTCAGGAGAAAAAGAGCATAATATTTACAGTATACATCATTCTCCGTCCTCCTAAAACACCTGCCTCCTGTCAGGCGGGTCTCATACAGAAAGTGAGGGAGATTTTGAGGGACGTCATCGACTTCTCTGCGTCTGCGTCCGCATACACGGAGCCTCGGAAAATGCTTTTGGAGTAGATAATGAGTAGAGAAACAGAGCATTGCAGGAATAAATTTAAACACCGGGAGTTGGGAGTAAAAGGATAAAATGAGCATACGTAGTTGGGGAGCAAGAGAGAGAGAAACAGAGAGAGAGAAAGGGGGGTATGGCACTTGTTCGTTGACGCACCCTGAAGAAACCCTAGTGGTACAGATCACCTCGAAAGGTGGCGCCCGGCGGGGACAGTAGGTGGTATTGATACACGACTTCAGTGAGAAAGAGAAAGAGGGGGAGAGAGAGAGAAGAAAAAAGCGAGCGCGCGCTTTAGCAGAATACAATTTGCCGGGATAGATAGCACGGTCTCGGTTGGAACAAAAAATACGCCCAGATAAAGGATGGGGAGGTTGTTACAAGGCGCTTCAGCTGTCCAGCTTTAGCAGGTTGAAAGGAGCTGACTGCTTCTCCTCCTCCTGGAGCTCATCTTCCTCGCATCGGACTCACCGGGCGCGCACCCAGAAAACTGTAAAAGTGTAAAGGCTATCACAGGCAGGACCCAGAGCGCCTTTCCAGTCCTGGACGTTGAAATGTTCTCATTTGGCAAAAGTAGAGAGAGAAGCAGGACCCTAACTCTTTGGTTTTTTGCATTCGGAGGGAGGCGGAGGAACCGGATAACCTGGAGGGGGGGGGGTCCAAGGAAAGCTAAGAGGTACGGTAGAAGGAGGAGCAAGACGAACAGAGATTGCACGTTCAGTTGAATGCCGTGGGGAAGAAGGTGTCCGAGAGCAGGGGTGGGGGCATACTACAGACAACCAGATTGTTGTTAATCGAGTCGTATGCATTGGTGGGTGGTGTATAACTGTTGATCAGATCGGTTACGGGCTGCAGTTCCTCGAAGCTCGAGGGGAAGGGAGCATTCTGCATCAGTCTGGAGTTCATGGCCTCTGTGAAAAAGCCGTAGGGCTGAAATTGGCTGCCCGCGCCACTCCTTCCATCGGTCCAGGGAGCGTAGGCATTGCCGGGATCAAAGTAGGAGGCCTGTTGTGTGTTGGCGGTCATCAAAGCTGCGGCGCCCTGAGTGTAGTCCATGGCGGAGAGACCACCGTCACTGGAGAAGCGTAAGTAATCATGAGGCAGGGTTGGATAGGGTGGCCGTCGCTGGGGCGTTTGTGAAAGGTCCGACAATGTGCCGGCAGTAGAGGAGGTTGCATGTAGGACGTCAGAGTTACGACTCAGGGTGCCGGAGGAAGTCACTGTGTCCGACGGATGCCAGGAGGTCTCGGCGAAACCACGACTCATGCCCATAGACTCGGACGGCGGAAAGTAACTCGAGGCAGTGGACAGAACGGTCCCGAAACCGGTCTGTTCCCCCTGGCCTTCACGGGGAAACCAAAAATTGTTCATGAAGGAGGCCGGGGAGAATGATCCATAGGCGCCCTGTTCTCCCCGGT